ATGCGCGATGTGTCGTCATCTCCTTCAAGAGGTGGCATCTCTTCAGTTACAGCAGCATTGGTGTCGTCAGCAGTAGGGTCATCTTCATCGATACCTTTTTTGGAAATAAAACTCATTAGAAAGATTTTCTGAAAGCCAGCTAATTAGTGTAATATTGCTGGTCTACGCCCACTTTCAAGACCATGTATTACAGGGTAGGTAAATAAATCTCAATTTCACGTCTTAGCTCTTAGAGGGTTAAGTGAGAAGACCCCACTCATTCCTATGAAAACAGGACTGTAATACATGTTCCCCAAGCAGGCCAAGATAACCCAAATTTGAGTAGCTGGAAGTTAATCACCGTTTGAGTTGTCACGTTTCTTTTCCGTATTAACATAATATAGTACAAACAAGCCTTACCCAGACCAAGTTTGATCATCCTGTAGATCCTGTTAGCATGTGTCTGGGGATCTTCCAGACTGAAGCCTGAAGACAGGAGTGCAGTTTCATAAAGCAAGATGACCAGATCCTTCACAGACTTGTCGTTCTTGTCAGCCTCTGCCTTCTGTCTTAAAGTCTCGATAATGGAATGGTCAGGGTTTATCTCCAGGTGTTTCTTTGCTGCCATGTAACCCATTGTCGAGTTGTCTCTTAGGGCTTGAGCTTTCATAATTCTTTCCATGTTTGCTGTCCAGCCATATGTGCTTGTGACAATACAGCATGGCGATGTCACCAATCGGTTTGACACAACCACCTGTAATCAAAAGAATTAAATGATGACTAGGAGCCTAAAAATATCCGATTAATTTCTCAGCTTTCATTGTGAAACGAAATCTAAGGAACCCAAATATCTACAGATCAGAAATAATATTTATAAATTTAGGTAACTAGAGAGCCAGCACTAAATGCACGGACTAAAGTTTGTTTTACACCACAAAACAGTTATTTTTTTTTTTTTTGGTCAGAATGTATGTTGGTTTAGTAAGAGAACTTAACAAGGAAGAGGGGCTGTGGGTGGTTAAGTTTGAAGAACACCTTAGAAGTGTCAATAGTCAAGGAAAGTAAATATAATGTATTCCCACATACCTTTTCAACTTTTTTCTCCAAGATGTCTTTCATGATTTTGCAGAGGTTTTCAAACTTTGTTTTCTTCTCTTCCTGTTTCTTTTTCTCTTCTTCATCTTCTGGAAGTTCTAAGCCTTCTTTGGTGACTGACACTAAAGTTTTCCCCTCAAATTCCTTCAGCTGTTGGACGCAGTACTCATCGATCGGCTCGATCATGTAGATCACTTCTAAGCCATGCTTCCGAAGACGTTCCACGAAGGCTGAGTTAGCTACCTGGTCCTTGGTCTCACCTGAAAGATTATTTTTAGACCTTTAATAGTCAATGGCTTCTTCCTCTACTTCACGTACTTTTTACCAACCGAATACTTAAGGATGATCCATATTACCTACTTTATTCACATTAAGTACCTTGCCTAGATCACACCCACTATCCCCTGCAAGGCTACAAAACAACAAAGTGATATGATTATAACATATACTATTACCTGTGATATAGTAGATATGTTTCTGGTTTTCCTTCATTCTGGTGCCATAGTCCTTGAGAGAAACCATCTCATCACCAGAAGCAGATGTGTAGTATCGTAACAGCTCTGAAAGCTTCTTCCGGTTTTGAGAGTCTTCATGTATTCCAAGCTGAAACAAAACATGAGCTTTAAAGACTTCCTGCATTAAAAATATCCTTTAAAATGAGGCCAGTTTGAAAACTACTAATGGTCAAATATATTCACACCAACCTTTATGTTTTTAGAGAACTGCTCATAAAACTTTTTGTAGTTCTCTTTATCTTCTGCCAATTCGGTGAAAAGCTCTAAGCACTTTTTGACCAAATTCTTTCTGATAACTTTCAAAATTTTGCTTTGCTGCAACATCTCACGGGAAATATTTAGAGGGAGATCCTCGGAGTCCACCACTCCTCTAATGAAATCTGAAAAAACATGAAGACCAAATGCATGTAGTTATTCCAAGGACAAAAGAAAGATGTAAAACCGAAAAAAAATGAGGAAAAAACCCAGAGATGATAAGAGTTCCTTTAACCCGTGACAATGACCTTTCTTCCTATCTCTACTTACTCAAGTATTCAGGGATCAGCTCCTCACAGTTATCCATGATGAAAACTCTGCGTACATACAACTTAATGTTGTTCTTTTTCTTTCTGTTTTCAAACAGGTCAAAAGGAGCACGTCTTGGGACAAAAAGAAGAGCTCTGAATTCCAATTGTCCTTCAACCGAAAAGTGCTGTAATAAAACACAAAGTGTCAAAAGGTCACTGCAAACAGTTTTCAATGAAAGCTACTTAACCTGATAAATAACACTAGCACCCATGTAACTTACAGCATTTGGGAGGGGTGAGGAAGAGTGGAGAAAGCAAAGCTGACAGTACCAACTCTTAAAAATTAACCTGAAGACTACCTACGAAGGAAGCACCCAGCAGCTACTCACCTTCACCGCCAAATGATCTTCCCAGTCATTGGTCAAGCTCTTATAGAATTCTCCATACTCTTCATTAGTAATATCGTCAGGATTTCTGGTCCAAATAGGCTTTGTTTTGTTGAGCTCTTCTTGATCAATGTACTTTTCCTTTATCTTCTTCTTCTTCTTCTTGTCACCATCCTTCTTTTCTTCTTCCTCTTCATCAGAACCAACATCTTCTATTTCGGGCTTGTCATCAGATTCCTTTTCTTCTTTTTCTTTTTCCTCCTCCTTGTCTTCCTTTTCTTCAGCCTCATCATCACTGACTTCTTTATCACGTTCCTTCTCCACCTTCAAAAAAAAAGGTGTGGAATCACATCACCTCTGCATTCTAGAGCTAAAAGGCTGAAAGGAGTGACACACTTACTCTAAAGCCTAAATTAGCCCTAAAGCTTGTCCTCAATATTACTACGTAATAGCCTTAGGTACCTTTCCAAAGTAAGGAGAGCTTAAGTTCTAAAGAGGCCTCAGCAACTCTATTATAAAGTTTGGGTCCTTTCCTTAACAGATCTAAAGATCAAGTACTTATTTCACTTATCTACATAAGGAACAATACAATTTACTCTGCAGTTATGTGAAAACTTACAAACAGAGTAATGGGATAACCAATAAACTGAGAATGTTTCTTCACAATCTCCTTTATTCTTCTTTCTTCTAAGTACTCAGTTTGGTCTTCTTTCAGATGGAGGATAACCTTTGTTCCACGACCCATAGGTTCACCTGAAATAGAAATGGACTCCATTTTAAATCTCAATGGCCAAATCAAGGTTAAAAAAAAAAAAAACTAATTCAACGCCATACCTAACCCCCTTGGAACAAATCTACGAAGTGAGGTTTACCATTATTATAGACGGAAAGGCTCCCACAGCAAGTCTAAATGCCTTACGATGCATGACCCCCGCATCATTGTGCTGTCACACACCGAACCACAGGGCTCACTAGCTTGTTCCTGAGTTGTTGGGCAAACACCAGTTGTCTCTCCCATCCTCCTCAGGGATCCAGTGTTTGCAGCACCCCACCCTGCAACGACTACCTTAACGAGTAAGTTTCTCTGTATGTTGCCTACCTGTGTCAGTTCTAACTGTGAATGATCCCCCAGCTGAGGACTCCCAGGCATACTGCTCGTCATCGTTATGTTTGGTGATCACGGTTACTTTCTCGGCAACCAAATACGCAGAATAAAAGCCAACGCCAAACTGGCCAATCATAGATATGTCTGCACCAGCCTGCAAAGCCTCCATGAACGCTTTGGTCCCGGACTTGGCGATAGTACCAAGGTTATTGATCAAGTCGGCCTTGGTCATTCCAATCCCGGTATCCACAATGGTGAGGGTTCGATCTTGCTTGTTTGGTATGAGATTAATGTGCAGCTCTTTCCCCGAGTCTAGTTTACTGGGGTCTGTCAAGCTTTCGTATCTGATTTTGTCCAAAGCCTATTAACAAAACATACAAACTGTCAAGCACTCAGCCCCAACATGAAGTTCGTAATAAAACCAGCACAATTTCCAATTAATAGGAGACTTACATCTGATGAGTTAGAAATGAGCTCCCTCAGAAAAATCTCTTTGTTTGAGTAGAAAGTGTTGATGATCAGCGACATCAGCTGGGCAATTTCTGCCTGAAAGGCAAACGTCTCGACCTCTTCCTCCTCCATCGGCTGGTCCTGGGTCTGGGTTTCCTCAGGCATCTGGAGAGGACACCGGGCCAGTTACCGACTGCAGTGTGTCCACAGCGGCACTACAGGATCCTGCCGCGGTCTCCAAATATTTTTAGCGCCGCACTTCGGAGATGTGCAGAATTTAAGCAAACCGAAAATAGAAAGCGGCTGACAAAGGGATGACCTCATTTCGAAACGCGGTAACTACGAGCGGCGTGTGCACGCTCCGAGGCGGCCGTGCCGACGGCAGCGACTCAACCCCGCGCCGTCCGTTGCGGGCGCCCCCCCCCCCCCGCGCGGCCCTGGCGGCGCCATGGTGGCCTCCCCCGCACGCCCCCTGGGCGGACGGGCCTGGGAGCGGCGCCTCCTCCGGCCAGGCACCGAGCAGGCCTACAGCGTCCCTCGCGTCCGGCCCCCCCGCCCCGTCGCTTCTCCGGAACATTCTAGCAGATCCCAGGCCCTCCGGCCCGTTCCGAAGGGGGGGCGCGTAGAGGCCGCCACAGGCCCGAAGCCCCCAGCATAGAAACCACGGCAGCCCCGGGGCCCGCAGCCAAGCGGGTTCAAGGAGCCGGCCCCGAGCCCCTCTGCCCCGCTCTGCGCCCGCCCCGGGGCCCTCTAGCGCCCTAGAATCCCCCAGACGCCCCCTCACCTTGGCTAATGGACCGCAAGGGCTCCGCACCGCAGCAGCACCAGGACGCTGAAGCAACTGGCGCGCCGCCCCCGAGCCTCCCTTATATAGCGGCGGGCCCGCCCAGCGCGCGGAGCTTTTTCCAGAAGCCTCCCGAACCTTCCGGAAGAACCCTCCCCAACCGCCGCCGCGGCCGCGCGCCTGCGCCTGCGCTCTGGCCGCGGTCCGCTCCTCCCCGGGCGCGCGCAGACCGCGCACTGGGAACGGCCAGGGCGCCCCTCCCCAGCAGCCTCCGCGCGTCCCCGCGCCGGCCTGAGTGCGTCTGCGCAGCCCGGAACTCTCGGGAAGGTCTCGGCGCCTTCCGGGGCCGCTAACGCTAGTCCTCCCCTCGCGCCCCCCGCCCCGCACCCCCCACGTGCCGGGCGCTGGCGGCGGGAGCGCCGGTGGTGAGGGTCGAGTACTGAGTTCCCACGCTCGGATATTTGTGAAAGTTTAATTCTTGAAGAGTGTCCGCATATTGTGGAACCTGGGTGCCCAACGGCAGGGCCGCGGGTTGTGGGCCGGGCCCGCCGGAGGAGCGCCTGGGGGCGGCGCTCGGCTTCCGGGGCTCCCTTCCCGCCCGCTGCCGGGGGAGGTGCCGTGATGCGCCTTCATAGGCGCGAGTTCGCCGCGGTCATTCGCAACCCGGGGGCTTTCTCCGCGCCTTGGGTCGCGGTCAAAGCACGTCCTTCGCGCCGCCGGGGCCCCTCAGTCTGGGGTTCTGGGATCTGGTCGCCTAAATTCATGCGCACCCAGCTACACCCGTTATGATTCGGTAAAGCCCGTCTTCTTTGCTTATAACTTAATTTGAGGTATCCGTACGGAGTGCCTAATACTTGGGTGATTAACTTGCCCCCGAAGCCAAATTCTAAGTGGGAGTGTTAGGTGTTTTGAGCAATGCGAGGTCACACCGTGAGAACCGCGGAGGCGGCACGTTCCTGAGACTACCCTGAGGTTAACACACTGGTTCTCCAGCACCCGTGCCCGACCCAGGTCCCCTTCCCCTTCCACATCTTTGTTCCTAGCTCCTCCCAGTGTTGGCCTTCCTCCTCCTCCGGAGACTCACTGCCAGGCCTCGGGGAATACTCTGGGAGCTCCTTACCATGTAAACAAACTTGGTGGAGCACTGACTCCACTTCCTAGTCCGTAGGGAAACCAGCTTCCCCAGGAACAGAAGTTTTCAAACTGGGGCCTTACGAGTGTTTCAGATAACAGAAACTGAGACTTGACTAGCATTAAAAAGGGGAAAAATAGAATGGAAACAATCAGCCCCATGGCAAGGGTACTAGCGGTTGCTATTATGCGTGTGCTGGGCCGTGGTTTTCCCTGCAGTTAGGAGAGGGAGCAGCAGGTCCCCTGTTGCTGCTTTCTGAAGTGTAAGGTCGAGGTCTCAGGACTGGCAGTAGCGGGCCCCTCCTCCCCCTGTCCCCTCCTGTCACCTACCAGCCACTGCCCTGCTCTCCTAACTTGGAGGCCTCTCCCTTTCTACCCTAGTGTCTGCCATTGCCCAGGAGGTTTAACATTTCGTGTAGGTGAGCCATCTGGGGCCCTACCTCTGAAATTCCTTGTCCTTTGTTTCTGGGGCCTTGACTTCCCCTCTCCTCCAGTGAACCTGCCCCAAGGCCACTCCCTGGATCTGGGTGTCACTGAAAGCCATTGTTTCCGTCAGGTTCCAACTTTAATGTCCTTCCCTCCTTCCACAACATCCTGTCCTTCCAGCTCTCTCCTGCCTCAGTTACTAAATACCAGGACATTTTTGGTCCTGTCCCCTTGACCTCTAGGTAACATTCCACACTGTCACCTGCCATTCCCCTCCTTAAGTCCTCCACCATGGTTTCCACCATCAACATGCTATGCTTTTCCTCCTGCTTCCTGGCTGTTCCTTCTCTGTCTCCTCTCCAGACTCCTGCCCCTCTTGCCGTCCTAGCACTTGAGCTCCTGGAGGCGGGTCCAAGGCTCCCAGAAGATCCTGTTCAGCACTCTCCCTTTCTAATAGTGCCAACGTGCAGGTGACTCACGGAAGAGCCCTGGTCGGGACTCTTTGATCTCATGAGCTTCCCCCACCTGCCTTGCCCTTTTTGAGGGCTTGCTAGCCAGTTGACTCACTATCCCACCACCTTCCAGAATCCCACAGGGGATCTGACATTCAGTCCTACCATTTCTGCCTCCTAAAAACCTCTTGAATCCAGCCACTTCCCTCCATCTTCATCCCTCACATCTTCTCCCCAGTTCCTTCCTGCCATCCGTGCAACCCTCAGCTCATCTGGAAGGCCTCTGTAGCCACCTAACTGCTCCCTGCATTTGGTCTGGTCTTTCTCCAATCTGTAGCCAGGGTGAGCTTTAAGAACATAGATCTAGCTGGGCATAGTGGCTCATGCCTATAATACTAGCACTCTGGGAGGCTGAGGCCAGGAGTTCGAGACCAGCCTGAGCCAAGAGTGAGACTCTGTCTCTACTAAAAATACGAAAAATTAGCCAGGCACAATGGCACAGGCCTGTATTCCCAGTTACTCTGGAGGCTGAGGCAAGAGGATCGCTTAAGCCCAGGAGGCTGAAGTTGCAGTGAGCTACGATGCCACCACACTCTAGCTGGGACAACAGAGCGAGACTCTGTCTCAAAAAAAATAAAAAATAGAAAAGCTCTGAGGCTGGGTGCATGCAGTGGCTCACACCTGTAATGCCAGCATTTTGGGAGGCTGAGGCAGGAGAATCACCTGAGGTCAGGAGTTGGAGACCATCTGGACAACATAGCAAGACACCTATCTCTACAAAAAATAATGCCAAGTGTGGCAGTGCATGCCTGTATTCCCAACTACTTGGGAGGCTGTGGCAGGAGGATCACTTGAACCCAGGAGTTCTGGGCTGGCGTGTGCTGTGTCCGTCGGGTGTCTGCACTAAGTTGAGCATCAATATGGTGACCTCCTGGGAGAGGGGGGATTACCAGGTTGCCTAAGGAGGCACGGTGAACTGGCCCAGATCAGAAACAGGTCAAAACTCCTGTGCTGATCAGTAGTAGGATTGCACCTGTGAATAGCCACCATGCTCCAACCTGGGCAACATAGTGAGACCCTGTCTCTAAAAGAACACAGATCTGACCCTATCAATCCCCTCCTCTACACACACCTCAAATCCTCACTGATTTCACATCACTGCTAGGAGGAGAACCTAGCTGTTTAACCAGGCCTGGGAAGAAATGTTTTTGGAAATGACCCAGGATAGGGCCTGGCACACAGTAACTACTATATATGTCTTTGTTAAAGTAAATCCTGCTAGGATCTGCCCAGGCCTACTCCTACAGCAATGTATGTCCCCTTACTTGCCTTCCAGGTAGTGGGCTAGGTATTTTGCATGCAGTTTCTCAGTTAATCCTCTCAACTCTGAAGTAGGTGGCTTTGGTCCCATTGTACAGATGAGAACACTGGGGCTCAGGAAAGATAAGTCCTTTACTCAGGGGTCACCCAGAGCAAAGGCTTCCAGGGAAGTCACAACAGGTCTGGCTCACAAATTTTGATACATTTTTTTAATTCAGTTCAAAATATTTTCTAATTTCCCTTTTGATTTCTTCTTTGACCCATGGGTTATTTATAAATATGTTATTTAGTTTACAAATATTTGGAGGTTTTGGAGATATATTTTGGTTATTGATTTCTAATATTTCATTGTGGTCAGAAAACATACTTTGCATGATTTGGATCCTTTTAAATTTATTAAGCCTCATTTTATGGTCCAGAATATGGTCTATCTTGGTAAATATTCTATATAAAAAATAACTATGCTGAGGGAAAGACGCCAGTCATTTATATAAAATTCTAGAAAATGCAAACTAATCTATAGTGACAGAAATTTGATCATGGGTTGCCTGTGAGGGATGAGGCAGACAGGATTAGGAGGGAGGGATCACAAAGAGCATGAGGAAAATTCTGGGTGATGAATTTGTTCACTGTCTTCAATGCTGTGATGGTTTCATAGGTGTATACGTATGTTGAAATGTATCAGATTGTACTTTCTTTTTATTTTTTATTTTTCTATTTATTTTTTAGAGACAGGGCCTCACTCTGTTGTCCAGGCTAGCATACAGTGGTGTCATCACAGCTCACTGCAACCTTGAATTCCTGGGCTCAAGGATCCTCCTGCCTCAGCCTCCCGAGTAGTAGGGACTACAGACACACATCACCACCACGCCTGGCTAATTTTTTTTTTTGTAGAGATGGTGTGGGGGTGGGGTCTCACTATGTTGCCCAGGCTGGTCTCAAACTCCTGGCCTCAAGCAATCCTCCCACCTCAGCCTCCCACAATGCTGGGATTACAGGCATGAGCCACCATGCCTAGCCCAGATTGTATTCTTTTTTTTTTGAGACAGAGTCTCACTCTTTTTGCCCGGGCTAGAGTGAGTGCCGTGGTGTCAGCCTAGCTCACAGCAACCTCAAACTCCTGGGCTCAAGCAATCCTACTGCCTCAGCCTCCCGAGTAGCTGGGACTACAGGCATGCGCCACCATGCCCGGCTAATTTTTTGTATATATTTTTAGTTGGCCGATTAATTTCTTTCTAATTTTTAGTAGAGGCAGGGTCTCGCTCTTGCTCAGGCTGGTTTCGAACTCCTGAACTCAAACAATCTGCCAGCCTCAGCCTCCCAGAGAGCTAGGATTACAGGCGTGAGCCACCGTGCCCGGCCCAGATTGTATTTTAAACACATGTAGTTTATTGAATGTTAATTGTAGCTCATAAAACTGTTTTTTAAAAAATTGATGTTTAACAAAAACCTTGGATAAAATTGAGAAAATGTTCAAGATCAAGTTATATAGGAAAATTCAGTGGTTCATACTGAGGAAAGGAAAATTAGTCATTTCAAAGAAAGAGACAGTTTTCAAGAAAGTGGGCATCAAAGCATAGATCTGGATTGTGAGTTCTGGCCCTGCCACTCACTGTGCAACTTTGAGCAAACTACTGAGCCTCTCTTTGCTTCGGTCTCCTCTTCCCCACCGTAGGGGGATCATAGAAGGGATGTGGGACGATGCCGTGAGCTTCTCTGGGGATGGCCTTGCTGTTGTTCTTCTGATGGAGGATGGAAGACAAGGGCGACCTGTACTGGCAGACAGACTGCTGAGGCCACTGTGATCCCGTCCTCCACCTGTGCTGGGCTTAGTGCCCGAGATGGCAGGGCAGGG